TATCTACGAAATGCTTCCAGACGCGTTCAGCTGCGTCAAAGGTATCGAATTACGATGCAAAATGCGTTAGTTAGTAAATGCACCTAAACGCATTTGTTTCTGTTGCATTCAAATGCGTCTGGGAGACTTTAACGCGCCCAAACGCCCTTAACTTGAATGCGTGCGAACATGCTAGTCATTTGAACGCGGCAAAATGCGTTTATTTTCACAGCGTTTTGGCGCGTCAGTTTCTGACGCGGCCAGACGCGTTTGATTCTAACGTATTTAAACGCGTTTATCACCAATTAACGCGTCCAAACGCGTTTTAATTGTAAGAAAACGCGTTCAGACTGGTTTTTAGTACAAAAAAACGCGTTTAGCAGTGCGTTTGGTCTAAAAAAATGTCTGCCTGGGGTATATAAAGTGTAATAAACTTTATAATCATACTAAAAAAGAAGTCGGTTGGCTCGTTGATAGCACGCCATCAACTGGTATTGCTCATAACTTTAGAAATTATACAGAAGTTCACTGTGGTATCATTTTATTAGCATGTTCTCTTGAAAATATACAGAAAAGAAGTATCACAATTGTGATAGTGATGTTTTAACATCAGAATAGAGCCAAAACTAAATCATCAAAAGTCACGTCTTTGAATCTATAAAGCAGAAAATATATAAGAAAAAATTCAATTTGTTTTAATTTGATTTAGTAACGAACAAAGTAGAATTATGTAAATGAGAAAAACGGTCTGACAAAGCCGAAAGACGTATCATACGGTGGAGAAAAGAGAACATATCATAGAAGATCAGTTGCAAAAAATCGAAAACTGATTAAAGAAAGAAAGTATCTGTTACAAAAATTAATACTGTATTAAAGCCACAGAAAAAAACGATCATTAAAATAAAGAGATCTAAATATTGAGATCATTTCTGTTCAAAATTACTATTTAAGAAGAAAAAATACGAAGTGGTAAATGGCAGCTTAGCGCAAGTCTGAACTAACATATTTTTATACCAAAATGTTCCTCGCGAGGCCGTGCATATATGGTAAATGCGCAAAAGTGCGCATATTTTCCTGGACTGAGATATTGGTTCTCCAAAATCCCTCGGTTTTTGAGGTAAACTGACCTTTTCGCGCTCAAAGAACATTTTTTCCTACATGATATATATATATTCGGAATCCCCGTGAAAAACTGCAAGGATGGTATATAATTCAACTGAATTCGATCCTTCCGTTCTGAATTCTATAAATTTCTTAGATTTGGAATTCACGCGAAGAACTTTCCGCTGAAAATTGGTGCTTCTATAGGTTATCGACGATGCTCTATGCAATGGAATGATTTTTCAGTTTAAAAACGCTTTTCAAAGGGTTTTCCGCAAATCCGGTCTCTGAAAAACCCACTGGAAAACTTTGTCGAAACTGGAAAGCTATTCCATTGGAAAGAGAATCGTCGAATAAACAGCTAAGTAAAAAAACGTTCTCGGTTACAAATCTGGTCGGGCACACAATTTTTCAATAAACAATTCATTAACTACATGAATTCATCTAAGTCATGATTAATACGATAGTATCATCCATCTTCTGAATTTGATAGCTCGTTGATAAATCGTAAGAAAAATATTGAGCGATTGATAGTCATTTCATAGAAAGTACCATATACGAAAACTTTAACGAAATCTTGAAGATCTCAATCCTTAAATGAAAGAAATTGGTTGAACATATGAGGCACCGAAATGACTCATTTTGTGGTAGAATTTGACAAAATGACTCTACCTCTCATTTTGTCAAATTCTACCACTTTCAACACGAACGCGAAATAATAACGTAACTTGAGTCCCGGTCACAAGTTTACGTACATCTTTTAAGGGCCCCCTCAGAAATGGTGATTTTCGATCAAAAAGTCGGTTTTGAGATACGCACATGGAAAGACAGCCTGAATTGCCTATTTCCAGAATCTGTATTGCTTTTGGTTACAGAACTGGTTGTTTGGGAATTCTGAGCAAGTTTTCTAAGAGCCTCGAAAAATCGGTTCTTCAAATAATAGTTTTTTTCTGGATACTTATGCAACCAAAATTTTTCTCAACACACAGCTTTGTAGAGCAAACGTTTCTGATCAAAATAAGACCTCGCACAACTCTGTATGATCTTGCATCAAAAAGTTACAGGCATTTTTCTAAAAGGCCTAAAATCGAGTATTTCATATAGCGTTTTCTCTATATAAGAGTTACATTTGAAGTGCGCCTCAAGATTTTTAATAGAGGTTTGTCGTAGAGAGTTCATTCTTTTTTTGTTTAAAAGAGGAAAAGAAACTACAGGAAAAGAAACTTCATGGACTGACCGGCATCGATTTTTGAATTAGGTCTTAGTTTTTTGTCAAACTAAGGATTTTTAGAAAACCTGGAAGGACTTTTCGGGTTTTGGAGGTTGTTGGTTGTCTGGAAAACCAATAAAGGCTTAATTGAAAAATCGGCGCCGGTCAGTCGATGTAGTTAGGTGTCTAGCTTAAAATAAAACAAACTTGAACTCTGCAGCTTGAAGTATATTAAAAAATCTTGGGACGCACTTCAGGGTCTTTTTTGGACCTTGACCTCTGGAAAACTCCTAAACCGTAAGACTTAGGGACAAAAAAATTTTAGGGGCAACAAAACTGGTCGAAATTGAGCACACTTTTACGTATAGTATTCAGCACTGATTTATCATGGCACACCAAAAGAAGAGTGTTTTTTCGACTTTTTATCCAGTACATATGATTCTTTTCAGTTCTCCACTCTCCTCTAGCCACATATCTATTTTCTATCTTTCGTCTCGACCTATCAGTATTCTTTCTTATCTTAATCTACATTGGGAATGAAATCAACATTAAATGTTGCTTGGCAGATACCGTTGAACGAAAATAAATGCGAAAGCATAACTTTTAACTATCAACGAAACACATTTACACCCGATCTTCTTATTAGTAAAACAGTGCTGAAAGAAGTTACTGAGCACAAGTATCTGTGAGTGATTTTAACACAAACATTAAATTGGAAAGCTCATGAAGGATATGTGCTGAGTAAATGTAATAAAATTTTAAATCTAATGAAGAAGTTCAGAAAAATATTTAGCACATCTATACTAAAGCAAATGTACAAATCTTTTGTTTTTCCCATAGTAACTTACGCGTGTGCCGTCTACATAAATAAACATAACATTCATATATTCGATCAGCTACAGTATCATGCTAGTTTGATTGTTTCTGGTGCACTTCATTTAAGTAATGAACCGAAAGTTATGGAAGTTCCTGGACTAGTGGAATTGCATGCGTCGTTCGAAGTATTAAAATTAAAGCTAATGCATAAAGTCATTACCAGACGTTTTTGTCTTCCTTTCTTCCATATATAATCGCGCTTTGGAACATTCTCCCCTTGCAGGTACGAAAAGTTATTACATGTAAAGTGTTTGCAAAAGATTTGTTACAACATTCTAAACTTGTTAAAAGCATAACGGCAGATATAGCTCTTAATCAGATGAGAGTGGACTTTTTGGTTCTGAACAATGATCTGCTTAAACGACATCTGGTTTCTAATGAGGAGTTTTGCGAGTGTGGCGAATTGGGACGGTAAAACATTATTTCCTTTCTTGTCGTAGCTATCATTTGACGAGAGCAAGTCTATTTAAACAAATAAAACTGCGTGATCCGAACTGTGACATTAACCTAAATCTACTACTACTACGAAAGAATCTAGATTTCGCATTGTATAAAGATCTTTATAAGCTTATAAAACAATATGTAAGTGAGATAGCCAGATTCTAACTGTAACATTCCACCAACCGTCCTTCTTTTTCAGTTCTTTTTTTTCTTCTTTTTTTCTTTTTCTTCTTCTTGCTATGCATTTAATATACGGTCAGGGAAACATCAAGTTGAACTACTCTTCAACTATGTAATGCTTCAGTGCATTAGGAGAATAGTTGTTAGGTATATTCACTTCTGAATAAAATAGCTTAAACCAAGAGTTCAATTACTGCATAACATCAAAATTGTTTCAAAACTACATATTACTTCATTTTTGACTGAACTTTGATTTTTTGATTTTCGTATGCACTGGTTTGCTGCATGGATGAATATATTTTTTTCTATACACATGTTATTATTTGTAAGGTATCAAGTTTTGTACATCGTGAAGCAAAAGCAAACAGTGATTGATTATTTCCTTCTACATTCTCATTTTCAATCGATCTTTTATTTATATTCATATTTTCAGCTTATTTATCGTGCATTCGTGCTTTTTTATACTAAGCGACATATCTCGAAACATATATCGTTTGCTACCAACATGATTTGACATAGTACTGCAATATGGGTGTATGCATTATATCTGTCACAGTCGTACACATATTCAATTCTGGAGTTTGGATTAATGTGATGGAAGTCAATGAAAAGCTTCTCACAAATGTGATAGAATTTTATTTTTCACGGTATACAATGACTAGAGATTGGCAGAATTTGTTAAACCTTAACTTGTGCAAATTTACACAAAATCTTTTGCAATTCTTATAACTTATTCCAATATTCTAGCCTTCAAGAATCTTCTTTTTTTTTTGTTTCTACAAACTCAAATGTGTGTGTGTGTGCTATTTAATCTTATGTAACTGCTGCGTCGAGTATATGTTTTATGTCAGTTATCATCAAATGTACAATGTATGTTTTGTGATATAAACCAGGCCTCCTATTAACATCTTAATTACTTATTCTACCATGATTTTTACCATTTCTTCTGTTCTTCATTTATTCTATAATACTTATGAGTCGTCATCGTATTTCTTTAGTTTGTGATACAAAAGAATAATGAGACAGACAACATCCGACTATGTTCGAAATGATTGTTCGGTTTAATTTTGTATTATGTGGTCAAAATCGAAATACCGAAGTCGTTTTATACTACCATTATTCATGCTACAATTTGTAGAATTAATTTCTGAAACTAATATTAATATTACACTGGTAAGATAAACTTATTTAGATATAACTAAAATGCAACTAATTCTCTGTTTCATTTCAACAGTGTCCTGCACTACAATTATCTGATAACAGCTATTTTCTGTCGGGTTATTGTGAGACGACTATCGGGTCTCTGTGTGGTATTGGATGTTTGGCTGGTTATCGTTTAGTTCATGGAGACAGTTTACGCGAATGTTTAGACAGTGGAACGTGGTCTGGAATTAATCCAAAATGTAAAGGTAAAAAATAATTATATCAAAGGAGCATTTACAATTTAACCAACGTTTTGAATTTTTAGCGGTTCATTGTTTTCCATTGAAAAAAAATCCATTAGTAATTCTGAACTGTCAACCAAAGAACAGCACAAAATTTGGTACAAAATGTATTGCCTCATGTCCAACAAAGTTTCGAATAGCAGGTCCACGCAGTAGAGAATGTTTGATCAATGGTATATGGACTGGTTATGATCAATATTGCATTGGTAACAAAAATGTTGTCTACAACTAAACTCTATGAACTCTTCACACATTCTCTCTTTTCCATTATATAGTGGATAATCAAACTAAAACCGTAGAAACCACCACTACAAAGATAACAACAGAAATAGTCGTCACAACAATGCCAAATTATCGGGGTAAATCACAATGATGCACTGTATGCCTTATAATGGCTAAAGTTCTTCTTTCTAGATTATTCCAGCTATATTCTGAACGTAAACAATAATACTGGCATCGTTCTACACTTTAACTACACACAATTTACAATTAAATTTTGGATCTATTTTGAAAATACTAATAACGATTTAATGCAGTTCAAATCTATTAATGAAATCAATGTATTTAGTATTGGATTACAGAAAGGCAGGTAACATTCTCGAACTAGAAGTTAAATTAAAATTTAAACTTTTTCATTTGAATAATTCACTATCATATGTCAAATTTAGATTATTATATTCTCATTATGACTCGACAACTCTAACAGATATTTCTGTTGTAAGTGGAAGATGGATACATTTTACGTGGACACATTCAAATGAAAATATATCACAAATTTATATTGATGGTGCAAAACAACATGAATTCAAAGTGAGCTTCGAATTCGAAAGCAAGTAAGATTTGAGAAAAATTAATTGTACAATACTTAAAACGATAGCAGTTAGTACTCTCTTTATCATATTCTATTTCTTTTGTAAATTATTGAACATGTTTTACAAAAATTATTAGTGAAAATTATATTCATTATATTCCCAGTCTTATGAATAAAATTAGTGTTGTAGATGTGTCTCAAAATAGTGTAGAATATGCGAACAATCTCCGTAGGTTTCCTGTTCCTTAACAGAATAACAAAGTAAAACTTATAACTAGAATTTGAAATTAATTCAGTTATCTGTGATTTACACAAAATATATTTTTTCAATAATTTCGTGACTTTTTCATACTTGAACACTGTCTTCTGTTATATTAATTAGATATTACATCATTGTCATTATTTGGATCCTACAATGCATCTTACAAACATCCGTTTAAAGGTGGAATTACTAGATTAGAAATATGGGAAAAAGTTATATCCGATCAAATATTAATAGCTAGTTTTCGTGATTGCCGAAAACAAAGTGGTGATGTTTTCTCATGGTCACAGATAAAAAATGGCATTCTTGACACAACTCAACTGTCAAGTTCATTTTTTTGTACAGGTAATAGATTTTGTTAATCATTCACTATATAGAAATTCATGGCCAATACACAATACTTCTAGGTTGTTCAGAACCAGCTTCGATATTAGGTGGAAAATATGTTGTGTCTGATTACAATATTGGCTCTTCTGTTGAATATGAATGCAACTTTGGCTATGAAATGACTGGATCGACTCGTGGCTTTTGTATGTTATCAGGAGAATGGTATCCGGTTGCACCTACTTGTAAACGTAAGCTCTTTTAATAAATGACATTAGTAGTAATTTGAGTCTAACGAATCTTTTAATTAATTTTTAGATAATCCATGTAATTCAGAATGTGAAATATGCAACTTTAAACGTGGCACATGTTCAAAAATGCGTGCACGAATAAATACACAGTTTTGCGATCCATCTTGTACTGAAAATGAAATATGTGTTGATGGGTTTTGTCAGTGGCGAGATACTTCACCAAATCAATGTCGTGATGATGATCCATATTGTAATCCAAATATTTGTAATCCACCATGTTTATATGGTAGTAAATGTATTGATGGACGTTGTGAATCAATAGCATTGCCCTATTGCCCTGTTGCTTGCCGACAAGGTCAAGTATGTGTTGATGGACGGTGCGGATGTTACAAAGGTGCGATGCAACTACTGAGAATAAGTTTGAAATAGTATGTATTATTTCTCTTTCTCTTAGGGATCTGTGATAGGCGACCATGTTATGAACTATGTGAACAAGGTGAAATGTGCCATAATTGGAGTTGTAGTTGTGGTAAAAATGGAAAATGTCCAGATGGTGAATTGTGTGACAGTGATAAATGCTTATGTGGTTTAAATCCATCTTGTAAACCATTTGAATATTGCATTAATGGGCAATGTTTATGTAAAACAATGCCATGTGATGAATGTAATGGTCTATGCAAATCCAATGAAATTTGTCTGCAAGGAAAATGTGTATGCAATAAACAATGTAAAAAAGGTATAAGATAATTGATTCTATAAGACATGATCATTTCATTTACTATTTATTTTTCAGCATTTTGTCCTTTGCCGTGTATGAACGGTGGAAAATGTACGGGATATTACGAATGCACATGTCCAACAAATTGGGAGGGTTATCGTTGTAGCCGACGAAAACAAATTTCAACATCATATCTTTGATTAAAATAATTATTTATGTATTAATTATGCTAATTGTATTATTTTCTAGAAATAAATTTTTAATAATTTGTTAGAAGAATTAGTTTGGATAAATTGATATCACTTTTAGAGCAAATCGTCAAAATAAAAAACTAGATGATGTTCAAGATAGCTGATACTAAATCTTTTTAATCTCAATCATACAGTAAAAGATAATCTAACCTATTTTCATTCATCAGTGTATATATAGAACAAAAGTTTTCTCCAGATGTTATTCTTATTTTAGAATACATAATAATGTTGATTAATAGCTTGTATACATGTGTTAAAATTTCTCGTTAAACATATTTTTTTTATCAGCATATCATAAAACTAATGGATTTATGAAATGCAACAAAAATGTTTTGTACAATTGAGAATGAAGAACCATTTACGACAACAAACAAACATCCTTTTAGTACTAGGAAATTGTTGATGTAGTGACGCTTTTTTTAACAAGAACTCATATTGTTTATACTGTTTCTTGTACCTTGTTAGAAGAACTTACAAGATTTCACAAAATCGGTGGCTCATCGTACTATAGAAATTCTACTATGTTACACAGTATATGTACATCATCGACTTATAGAATAAAACCTCAAAAATTTTTCTTTCTTCCGCGTCATCCATCAGCTAGACACGAAGTTAGGAATGTGATCAATCATAATCCCACTTACGCTAGAAAAATATCAGTAGAAGAAAAACAAAGAGAGATAGTGGGATTGACAGGAAAAAGTAAACATATCAGCTTTCAAATGAATTCTTGGAAGATTTTATGATTTTCTGTATTGTCTTGCAATTTCTTGCAAGTTTATATAAGTTCTTTTCACAAGATTTTGCTAAATCTTCTAAGAACTTACAAGAAAAATCAGGGACACTGATTTATATGATGTAACAATCTGTTAATGATTTAAAAATCTGTACTAGAAATATATTGACCAGATAGTCCGAAGTGCGCTCTTTGAAATGCGAGTTAAACCAAAATTCCGTCTCTATAGTGTAGTACCACCCAGATTTTCTAGAGATGTTACAGATCCTGTCTATGGATGTTGTATCATCATTACATTATAGCATCTATAGTATTTTTCAACGAAAATAGTATATCCTTATGCGCTATAAATTCATCACTTGATTTTAATTCGATAAGTCATACGTATGTTAAAGGTATGAGTGCAGGTGATCCTTAAGATAGCATTTCAGTTAAAACTTTTTATCATAATCGATAGAATTCCTTTTCGTCAAATAAATATTCATTATTCAAAACTGAATTAATCAACGAGTACGATGGACAAAGTGTAAACAGCACATTCCGACAGTAGAAGTAAATATTTGAAATAACATTCTGGAATTGACAATTAATATTTCGAATGCAAAAATATTTTTTGCAATTCTTTTCTCCTTTTACCTTTATATTGTTAGAGTAAGAGACTGTTAGATAAAATATTTTCGTTTTGTTGCGTACGGAAAACTAAATGTTTACTAACCCAGCGTTGTTTCTCAAATGATCAGGATTTGTTTTTTTTTCTGACTCCTTCGCAACTATCAAAACTCATTTTGACTATATACAGGTTTTCGTTTAAAAACTCGTTTCATGTTTTAAAGGTAGATGCAGAACTGAAATTTTCATCAAATATTTTGATATTTTAAATTCGACTTGTTTGAAATAAATAGATTTTTATTTTACAACCGCTTTTTCGTCACGGAAAAACTCAAACCTTAGAAACAGAAAGGCAGTTCCGAGGACTGCGCACATAGTGAGGGCCAGTTCAGGTTTCCGAGGCTTGAGCAACGAAAAAGCGGTTGTAAAACAAACTCTTATTTAGTAAATATGAATCACCATAAGATTAGATTATTGTGCAAATCCCAGCGCTCTAACCAGAAGTTTCCCAATTTGCTAAAACCCTCAATAGAAAAAAGGGATCTTCTTGAAAAGATGTCATCTTAGAAAGGAGTCAAGATCACTTACGAGGGAGCCTGTCGTGATGTAACCCTCCGATTCCAGTGATTTGTACACGGATCTATAGACCTCAGTGAGATAGTAAATACCCTTAAAAGGATTCGTGCCCATGACTCTTGAAGGCCCGGTTTGATGGAAAACCAATTTTTCAAGAACTCTAAAAAGTGATCAGAAATCTTTTTTAATGAGACATGAGTGTAGCCTGCAAATTCCTGATTAAAATGAGACATCTCCCAGCTCTACACGACCTTTCTTTGCAAAGTTATGGAATTTACAAGAAAAGCCCTAAATGTTTATTGTCACCTCAAAGCTACAGAAATAAGAAGAAATTAATTTAGAGCTTTTCTTGTAAATTCTATCACTTTGCACAGAAAGATCGTGTAGAGCTGGAAGAAGTCTCATTTTAACCAGGAATTTGCGGGCTACAATCATGCCTCATTAAAAACAGGTTTTTGATAACTTTTTAGAGTTTTTGAAAAACTGGTTTTCCATAAAACGGGGTCTTCAAGATTCATGGCACGGATCCTTTTAGGGTATTTACTATCTCACTGAGGTATATCGATCCATGTACAAATCATTGAAATCATTGAAAGGTTATATCTCGAAAGGTTCCCTCCTTAGTAATTATGTCGTTCAACCCGTACTCTAAAGCTACTGTGTACCTCGGCCCGCCCGACACCATACTCTACATCGTGCCGTACAATACAGTTGCTTCGATTTGTCCTAGCGACCTTCCGGAGGGCTACTATGTGATTACTGAGCGTGTATTAAGAGTTAGTTTTCAGAAAAAATCACGTTTCTTCGAAAAGTCGGTCTTACAGGTTTATAGATAAAAATTTCGATGGAATTCGATTTCGATGGCGTTCGATTCAAAACTCAATGTTTTGTACATGATTCGATGTAACTTGGTGCGCTGATTCCGAATATGACCTTATTTTTTCCTAAAAGTGGTCCTAACCGAAGACAAATAGGTTAAACCTAAAAACCAGAGTTTGGCGAAACCTACATCTCGGCACAGGAATAATTGCGCATATAATATACACGCACTACATAGCAGGAAACATTCTGATATATTTTTGAATCGGATTTATCTTTAGAAAATTTTCGGAAACTCGTTACATTGAACAACCTCTAGGAGTTGAACAAGTTTATCCTCAAAATAATTCTATTTCTCGGAGAGATTCGGTCAAGAACGACGAATTTTCTTTTTATCAGACAGTCGAGAGAGTCTAGTTTCAGAATCTATGTCATTTTTAGTTATATTTCTGTTGAATATGGAAAACAGAATTTTCGGTCTTATTGCCTATTCAGGCTAACTTCTAGCTACATGCCTAGTTATTGAAACAAAAATTTTTATGCCAATGAATAGCCCACATATCAGAGAATATTTCTGTATATCTGAATCTGTCACTTTCCGATTTTGCCTAATGTCTACCTGGATGCACACTGTGCCTGTGTTTGACGACTGGCAATAATATAAGTGATGATGTTAGAAGCTTGTCACCTGTAGGAAGGATATCTGACTGCTGAAGCTGACTACATCAGCACCCTATGCCAGTAACAATAATGAAAAAAGATTTATATGAAATTTGATAACTTCTGCATCTTCGATCATTTAAATTGAAAGTCAAAATAATGTAAAGATATGCCAGTTCACGGATGATATTTGAGTTTACCTTACGCTGTATCAAAGTTGAAATATTTTAAAAAATGTTTTTGAACAAAACAAAGTATAGTATTAAATTCTATGGTTAGAGCGCGCTTTTATTTCAGATCCATATGTTTTTCTGTTCATGTACTGTGTATTACTCCAAAAACAAATGAAAAATGCTATTCTAATATAGGCTCATCTAATTACTGCACTGTTCCCTGCTAACATACAAGCAAAAGTTCAGTTCTCTTGCGTATGTGCATGTGATATGACTTTCACTGTGTAATCTAAGATGCATGGACGAATTATAGTGAGTAATAACATTTACACAATAAATTGCGGTCAAATTTGACAATGAAATAATTCAAATGATCAACGCTACAATACAACTGAGAACTTGTGGGTCAGTATTGAATTATTGAATCAAAATATTATCTTAGTCTATTTATTAATAAGTTTAATTAGCCAAGATCTATTATTAAAATAAATGTTGTTAATATTATTTTCATTTACGTTGATATAAATAAACAAAAATAAAACGTAATTGAATTTTTAAGCAATTAACAGAATGATGTATGTTAAACTCTACTACATACATTTGTCGATGTCTTTTTTTGCTAAAACATATGTGAAACCAGAATAGAAGGGCATTTCTTATCTTTTGTGTATATATATGCATGAAGAATTTGATCGTTTTTCATGACGGTTCACACAACTTCTCGAACTTTTTTTGTTTGCATTTCTATACATGTATTTTTGAGGGTCGCCATCCAATTTAATTTCAATCATTTTTCTATTGTTTAATTATTATTTTTTTCTTTATATCTCACTCCTTTTATATCCATTAAAATGTCACGGTACAGACGGTATGTTGACTTGTGACAATGTGAAAAAATTGAACGATGTTGCTAACAGATAGTCTAATCGTAGATACTTATTTTTGAAATAATAGCATTCAAAATGTCAATATTCCGTACGTCTCAAATACATGTCAAACTAAATAAACAACTTATAATAACTAAACACTATTATATTTCTATACCATGTAATTATTGACACTACTTAATTTACATTATTTGAATCGAATTCAATACATTTCATTAAAAATACTAAAATGTTTATGTGTGTGACAAGTATTTATTTGAGATTTGACGAAACCAAATAATCAACAATTTTAAGAATATCATAGAGAATACTTTTTATAGGAGAGATATTCGTTTTAGAACAATTTTTAGGTGTTCTTCTCCTGGATTTGATCTTCCGACCTCTCATACGCTGTACTTCTCCACTACGTATTTTCTCATTGCATTAAATTGTGTAAAAGGAAACTACGAGTTATGATGATACATTCGTATGAAGGCCGTATACTTATCTATATATCTAAATAGTCTTTACAAGTGATCACTCACATGTTAGTAGCTATACTATACATAAATGTTGACCATATTTAACGTCGACACGACTGTGTAGGACGGATACTTTTACAAAGATCGAATCCAGAAGAAGAACACCTAAAAATTGTTTTAACAATATCAAAAATCATTGCCAATATTGAAAAATAATAAAAATAAATTAAAAATGTTAGTGTAAGTGTGACTATAATATCCTTAACATTGTTCAATATCATCATGAGTTTATTGAAATGATAATATATTGAAAATTGAAATTTAACGACCTATTTATACGTTCATTCTCAAATATTTATCTCTCATCTAGAGCGTGACATTTAGATAAACACAATATTAAATGGTATATCTATACATATATCTATTTCGTCTTTTCCTTCTCCATTCTTCACTGTATAAAAAAATCGAACATTCTGGATTTTTAATATTTTTACCATTTCAATAAACTGATAATCATATTAAACTATGTTAACAGTGTTAAAGTCATACTTAACACAGTGTGGTAAGAAAAAGTAATCAAATAATTATTATTTAGAAGAATTTCAATGAGAATCAAAGACAATCGATTCTCTATAACCTAAAACTGATCTATATTGTCTACAAACATTTTTTTTCAACAAAGTAATACAATAACATACATTTAAAGAAGATATTTATGTTCAATTACCGTGTAATATAAAATTAATAATAGTTAATCTAATGTTAAATCAAATTAATTCAAATCAATAAAATAGTTAAAAATGAAATTAGTTTTAGTTATTTATTAATTGATTTTAGTTCAATAATCGACGATAGATGATCCTAAAACAAATTGTTTCATTGAATAGCTTCGAGCAATATCTATTGTTCTCAAAAAGGTAGAAATGAATCTGCTGTATAAGCATGATCGAACAATTGAACACAATAAATAAATTTAGAGAATATGTTCAACAGATGTCATCTCTTCATCTGGATGAACATGCAACATATCAACGTTAAAAATAATTTTTTAAAAATAATTTCAAATTAAAATAAACATTTTAAGCAAATTTGACATTTTTATGTAAACAGAAAAGTGAAAACAAACTCAAGATATTTTCTTTTTTATTTATCCAAGTTTACAACTGTACTTATCATTCTTTCTGTTTTTTATAGTGTTTATTTAAGTGGAAAGGAACAAACATAATGGCAATAAATAAGAGAATAACGGTGATACCCTGGATTATACGACAAAATTCACTGAATCATCGATGACGAAACATCATCAGAAAATTTATACCTTTTTCCTAAAAAACTTCTTATGATTAAAACTATCCTAAATACAAAAATATTTGAACTTATAATCAAACAGAAGTGTAAAAAAAGCAAAACTAGCAATTCGGACGTTAGAAAGGTTTTATATTGATTGCAAAAACTACTTTCACAAAGTTAGTCAAATACAACTTTTGTACATCGATAAAAAAATCTATTATTTATGAGAAAAAGAAAGGAAAATGACGTTGTTTCTGGCAAAGAATCGAAAATAATGAGTGGAATATCATCATTTCTAAAACTATAGGTTCTAGAAATTCCTATCATTGATGCCAGATGTTACACTATTAATGTTTCTTTCAATTAAATAGCCTATAAAAGCACAAAATAAACTTTATTTTTTATATATTTATTATTATTTTTTCTTTCCATTGCTCATCCAAACCATCTGATCGTCCGTATTTTACTCTTCCACCAATAAAACAGCTGCTGTAGTTAACATAACATTTATGCGTTCGAAATTTCTTTCTTTTTTTTTTTCTTTTTTTTTTGTTGCTCCGATTGGCAGTCAAACAGCTGATAATTTAAATTGACAGACAAAAGAAAAATTCTTCATTTAGTCGACGCCACGGATAAATATTGTGTATTTATAGGTATAGACTTTCTTTATATCAGATATACAGTGTTTGACAAATTTTTTTTTCCTTTCTTTACGTTAATATGTATGTAGATATTCTGAACATATAATAAAGTAATATTACCGCTATGATATAGTAGACCATAGTATTTCTGTTGTCTGTATTCTTCATCTTAAATATAGGTGTATGATAATAGTAGTTGTTGAATATATATATATGCACAGTTCTTTTATTTTTAGTTATGATGATTATTACACCATCGATCGATCTATTACGTGATACCACTATTTTAGTTGAATCTAGTTCTTTATACCTTGGAGGAATGTGATCATAAAACATTTTCGTTTCGCTGTTTTCTCTCCTTCTGCTCTTATTCTATATTTTTTCTGTTTAAATGCATTTTGTAATTGATTCTTTTCAAAAATCATACACAGTCAGTCATACAAGAATATATTTCTGTGTGGTTGTTGTGATTTGTTGATGTTTGTGTGTAACAGAAATTATTTGTATTTCTCTTGTTGTTGTTGTTGTTTTTTATTTCTCGATTGTTTTATTCTAGATTTTGTTTTTTTTATCAACGCATCTAATTAATAATGGTGACTAGTGTCATAGCTCGTTGCATTATGTATGTATTCAATTGTTTTACTCTTATTGGTTTCTAATATTTCTATTTTGTAGCGTGACGATTGGCACACTTTATCCAGCATACAGAAGTTATAAAGCACTGATTAACTCGGATTTAAAAGATGTGGTATGTAACGTTTATTTGAAACGGTATAAATACTTTAGGAAAACATTTACATTCTAATAGACAATAAAAAGATGTTTCACGATTGAAATCACTTTTCTTTGTTGTTTAAGGTGAATTGTCTTCGATACTGGATTGTCTTTGCAATATTTATTACTGCTGAAACAATTACCGATATTATTTTGTCATGGTAGAGACATTTTTTTTCCACATTTTGCTGAGACAAACATCTACTTTCTATCATTTTTTTCTTTATCCATTTAGGTTTCCGTTTTACTATTGGATTAAAATTGCCGTTGTACTATGGATGATATCACCAGCTGGCTCTACACTCATTTATAAACGTTTTGTACAACCTCTTTTAAAAGAACGAGAAAAAGTAATGAAATACATGTGAGAAATTATTTTCAGATGTGATCTAACCTGAAAATTTTGAGTAGTGAACAATAAACGTGACCTTGTCTCATTTATATATCTGAATTGTTGTTTTTCTCGTAAAAATGTATCTTATAACTTTATTTTTGTTTTCTTTAGGAAATTGATGAGTTATTAGAACGAACAAAAGAAAAAAGTTATTCTACATTAGTTGAATTGGGTCATAAAGGCTTTCGATATGCATCTAATTTATTTTTAAATACAGCACTAATGGTATGTCTTCTTTGTTTTAGTTTCTATGACAATCAGTAAAAATATTCTTTCTGTTTTGTTTTAAGGGTCAAGCTTATCTTGGCGAACATTTAAAACGAAGTTTTAGTACTAGCGATATTATTCAGTCACAACTACAAGGATATATAAATAGAAATGCTGTACTAGAAGAAGTTGAAGACGGTAAATGAAACAATAGTGTATTACATTGATATCGTGATCTCTGCAATTGTAACTTTTTAATTTAGAAAATGATAGTGAATTACAAGCACGTCTTGTCGAAGATCGTCAGTTTTTAAAAAGTACATCTGGTCGGCGACCAGTCTCACGTACGTACATCTCTACTTTTAAATTCTATTCTGTCTTCGTACAGTAATTCATGAATTATTTTGTTTAGATTATCAAATATCAGAGAATGATGATATTGAAGATCCATTAGAAGAGTTAGAAATGTCAAACGTTATGGCTCAACGGCAACGAAAACATCGTACTACTGGGAAAAATGGAGCAACGTATTCTTCAGCAGAGGTAACAAAAATTAACAGTTGGATTGAATCCATTATGTTTTGTCTGTTTTCTATTTGTTGATTTTTTGCTCTATTTTTTAAGGAAAAAGGGTAAGATTAGTCTTGCATTTTTCTTTTTCATTCGCTCTCTAAAGATAAACTTCTTTGCTACTATTTATTTTTTCAAAAATAATTTAATTCTAAAAAAAAAAAATTGATTTCGTTTAATATTATATATTCTCTTACGATTACTCTAATGAAAGAAAAAAATGTGAATTTAAATTTTGCTGAAATTCTTTCCCAGTAGACATTTTGTGTATGGTAATTAGACTCATAATCCAATGAATTGTATGCAAGCATTTGTTCATTGTTTTTTGCTATTATCCGTGGATTGTTTTGGTCGACTAGTTTGTTTTCTAACTCACAAATGATTGTCTAGTAGAATAAAAAAAACAAGTGTTGAAATTACATATTGAGCATGATAACTTAGTGCATCCCTTCTCTTTTTTTTTTGTAAGCTACAAAAATGTAAATAAGCAAAATGTATTTTGCAATACAGATTTCTGGCTTTTACTTATAGTGCTTTAAATGAACGAAAAAGTTCTTTTATATTTGTTCACCAATTACCTTTTAATTGTATCATCATTGAACTTAGTAGTTATTCATTTTATAGTTAATTTTTAAAAACAATCTATAGCAGATTTGCTTTTATTAGTATGTTAGTATTAAGTTCTTTTTATCTCGAACTATACAACATTTTTGTTTATTTATTTCATTTTAGAGCTCCCACTATGGTACAATCTCGAAAGGGCAAGCACAACAAATGTTAAAACGACCAAAAGTAACAAAATCCGTTGGTACAGCATCAAAAGTGATAACAGCTGCCGTATCAACGCCCGTAGTGGAAACTGTTTTGTTAACTGAGGGCACTGTAGCCGATATCGATTCTAGTCAAGATGTTAATGACTCAACAAGAACTGAGCCCAATTAATAAATAAACACAGAATATTTTGTTATTTTTAACCGTTTTATCTTTAGAAAATTGTACATATTGGTCAAACGATAAATGCAAATTTTGCAGAGATATGAAGTTATTTTGTATCATCATATGACTCTAAAATGTGTTATTTATACGAACTGGTGCTGGTTTTTTATTTCTTCAAGTATTCAACATTTTTCTTTCTATTTCTTTTTATTTATTCGCCTGTTCCTCTTCTTTTTTTTTGTTATTGATTTGGCGTTATAAATATTGAACTAGAACCAAACTAAAGCATTGCATTTATCACGTTCGAAACTTTCTTTTTTATTAAATTGCAGTAAGCATATTTTCCGTTTTAATTTGAGAATTTCGAGTTTGAGTATGTATACCTTTTACTAACGCACATAGACATATCCATATGTCAGTGTATACTACTATTCTTGTTATTGACTCTCTTTTTATACTTTTCTTGCTATATTATGCTCAAAAACCGCAGATCGGGCGTGATCAGATATTCCGTCATTCTTTCTTTTAATGTTTCGAATATCTTTTCTACATTTTTAAGAAGAATGAATATCGATGAAACACATAAGAAATATTCGTCTATTTTTAATTTTGAAATAGATTAATTAATAGAGTTTGAGTGATACCCTACTTTGTTTCATGTTATATCTCTTATTCTATTTTTTTGTTATCTCAAATATATAGATGATCAATACAAAACCATTGCACAAATACTTTGCATAGTTTATTAATTTTATTCTCCCCTAGCTGTACCCATTTTGTGTTTAGTTTCTTCAATCATTTTCTTCAAAACACAATTTTGCGGTCTGACCTTTATATAATTTGATTTTGGACTGTTTTTAAACTGTATCAATACTTTCTAAAACGGTCGCTAATAAAAAAAAAGACTTGCTCAGGCTACACCACAAAACACTCAGATAAAATTTAGGTAAAACTTTATATTAGCTAGTAATATACCAATGAACTATCCTCTTCAAAAACAGTATAAGCTTCAACTATGATCTTCGAATTTTTTACTAGTTGAATAATCTTCATAACTATGAAACCGAAAAATTTATAGAGCATCGCCTTTTGTAATGTCTCAGTGTATACACCTTGATGCCCAACATCTTAGAAAGCCAGCTATTACTTGGCTTTTCTTAAATATCACTTAAACTATTATACTAAAGTTTAACTAAACAAAAATCGTGCAGTATATTCATACATTTTGTAATCAAAATCGTGTAAATTTTATTAAAATTTTAAATACGAATCAAAAGTCTAAGAACTTGAAAATATGTAAACTACGTGCTACTCGATTCTGAACGCTCAATTACGTTTATACTAATTAAATTACAGAATACAATAGATGTCGATTTTAAGCATTAGTGTCTCTATGTTTTGACTATTGGTATCCATAGTTAAAAATATTCATCTGAATACTATTCTATATTAGTATAATCATTTGGTGAGATCTATCTATCAGATTTTATTTTAAACTATTAGTGATATGCTGAATTAAATATATATCATTATTCTATTCAAGAAAAAAGAGGAATGAGTCATGGAATATGAGAAACAATTGGCAAATATTTGCTGCCTGTTTCGAAAATTGAGTTAGCTTAGTCAATTGATTGATTGAAAATATCCTATGACTAGCCCGAAAATCTCGTTTAATTTGTATTATTCTCTAATAAAGATTAGTGGACGGACATGCTCGACTTTCATTCAAAAATCATTGAAAATCCTTAGTTTTCTGTCATAGTTTTATCAAAGATGAAGAGTGTCACTAACTAAGTGATACACGTCAGACGTGATTTTTTCACGTCGGTTCACGTTCAAGAATTGCATAACAATTTATGTGTAAAAAAATGTATCAATTGCTTTCTAGTATTGAATGTAATCACGTTTTTTTCGCTATTGTGTGACTACAAATGACGTTGTCAAAGAGATAGAGTCAAATTTTTCGGAATTAGTAAATTTGCATAATGTAAAGATATATTGCATGGTTGTACGTTCGAACGTGCGAAAAATTTTCATTAACTATTTAATTTTATAACATCGTCACCTCAGATCATCATGCAAATATAATTTTTCCTCTATATGACGCTTATCATGATACAATACGCATATCAACCGAAAAATAACTGCACACAGTAAAATGAAATACATCATTTTAATGGGGAGTGTAATTAATGTTCATTTTCTTTTAATCTTCTAGAATATATTTTAATGTTACAAACTACATCTTTTTGAAATAGAAAAACAAAAAATTTGATTCTGATTTTAAAAAAATTCTTATTGTTATTTGTTGATTTAAATATTTCTTAGTTTTTTAGATAATGTAGTCAAAGTGAATGGCGTCATCGATTTCGGTAGCTGGTCCAAGTGAACAAACTGCTTTAAGACGTCAACAAACAAGATTACAAAATAATCAATCGACTAATATTGTTGTTCGATCAAATGTTGATATTGCAAATCAATCTCATAATTTAAATAATGCTTTATTACGTGTCGATCAATACGCAGTTGGTACCAGAGTTGTTAGGGGACCAGATTGGAAATGGCAAAAGCAAGACGGTGGTGAAGGTCATGTTGGAACAGTTCAATCATTTGACAATAATGATGTATTAATCGTATGGGATTATGGACTATCAGCGAGTTATAGATGTAAAACACATTACGATTTGAGAATATTAGATAATAGTGCAGCAGGTATGCATTCTCATAAAAAATGTTTTTGAAAAATGATAAAATTAATTTTTAATAATCACCATTATTATAAGACTAAAATAATAACTTTCAATTTATCTTATGATTCATCTTCGGCTAGAAAATAAACGTAAAACACACAACATATATGATACACGAAACTTTTACTTTCTTTTCGATTATTTTCTTTTTTTTTCTCTTACGAATACTAAAAATGTGATGTTTTTAAATCATTTATTTTAATATAGGTATTCATCATGATAACACGGTTTGTTCGGGATGTGGACAATCACCAATATATGGTACGTGAGACTAATTTGAATTTGCTGAAAATTTTATTACATGATCCGTTTCCAACACCATAGTTCGAGAAATAATGTACATCATGTTAATTTTTCATTTTAGGTATTCGCTGGCGATGTGGTGATTGCCCAAATGTTGACTTATGTTCAACGTGTTATCACGGTGATAGACATAATATTCGGCATCGCTTTTGTCGCATAATTACAACGAACGGCGAAACGTAAGTTTCATTCTGCTTTTCTTCTCATCTACATTAATTTCAGTTATTACATTGCATAGACCCGTATTAGTAGGTATCTCACTTGCTGTATATATATATGAATATGTTCTGACTAAAGTATCTACTCATTGTTCAATTCTAATTTTCTTAATTATCTACACTTTTGAATATAAATTAATCAACTTCTTACTTATATGTTTCATGAATAACAATATCTATTGTAAAAATCCTATTTTTGCATATGTGATGTTTGTTTTCTTAGGATTTTGATGGATCCAAGACGAAAGTCAAAGAAATTAGCGTACAAAGGGCTTTATCCAGGTGCTCGTGTTGCACGTGGTAAAAATTGGCAATATGAAGACCAAGATGGGGATGATTCAAAACGAGGCAAAATAACTGATTTACAAGATTGGTCTAAAACACATCCAAGAAGTGGTGTCTATGTTATATGGGATAATAATCGTGAAAATTTATATCGTGTTGGTTTTGAAGGCATGGTATGTACTAGTTGTTCAATAAGATCCAAAATATATATACAGTACTCATAATTATTTTTCATTCAGGTCGATCTTCGAGCTGTTGTTCCTGGAAAAGGAGGCTATTATTATTCCGAACATTTACCATTGTTAGGTTAGTTATTTTAGTTATCCTTCACTAATAGTTCAAAAAATACAAAATAAATTTGTTCGTCTATTTCTTGAAGGTGAACCCCAACAAATTTCAAAAGCACATCAGTTAGCTTCTGGAACCAGTGGATTTCAAATTGGAAATTATGTTAATGTTGATTTAGAATTAGACGTTGTACAATTGTTGCAACATGGTCATGGTGGTTGGAGTGATGGTATGTTTGAATGTTTAGGTACGACCGGATGTGTTCAGAGTATTGATGACGATCATGATATTGTTGTTTCGTATCCGAGTGGTAACCGTTGGACATTGAATTCTGCTATATTGACAAAAGTCGAATTATCCCAAGAACAACACCAAATTATGTTACAACAACAACAACAGCGAGATTCAAGTTCTATACAACCAACACAAATATCATCGTCAACTACAGATCCACTGTCACCGCTACCGTCGACCACAATTGATTCTCAAAAATTAAAAATTAACGACATGATACAAATATGTAGTGATTTAGAAAGAATTAAAATGTATCAACGGGGACATGGTGATTTTGCCGAGGCAATGATGCCGGTATGATAACGATACAATAATAATTCACTGTAAGACACTGAACTGTAATTCGTCTTATTTAGGCACTTGGAAAAGTAGGTCGTATTGTTCACCAATATGCTGATGGCGATATTAAAGTTCAAGTTGCTGGAGGTTGTTGGATATTTAATCCATTAGCTGTTACAAAAGTTCATCAAACAAGATCAACAGACGACGGCAATGAAGGTTAAACTCGTACTCATAATAAAAGATACATTTAATATTCTTTTTACATCTTCAGAAAGACTTGGTGTAATGTTAAAAAAATTATTTGATGCACAAATGACAGGCGATGTACACGAGGTACTTGTTAAAGCTTCAGCAAATGGTGATTCAAGAAAAGTCGAAGAATTACTACAACGACAACATGTTGATGTCAATGGAATATTTGCGGGTCATACAAGTTTACAAGCATCATGTCAAAACGGACATATTGATGTTGTTCGCATTCTTATGTTACATCATGCTAATTTAGAAATCGAAGTCAGTTCTCTTCTTCCACGTCAATTTCTTTATAATAATATGTAATATTGATTTAGGATAAAGACGGTGATCGAGCTGTACATCATGCATCGTTTGGCGATGAACCAGTTGTACTTGAAATGTTGGCAAAAGCTGGCTGTGATTTAAATGCTCGAAATAAACGTCGTCAAACAGCTTTACACATCGGTGTTTGTAAAGGTCATTTGGATGTCGTTAAAATTCTATTGACTCATGGAGCTCATGCTGGTATACAAGATACTGACGGTGATACACCATTACACGATGCCATATCAAAGCGACGAGATGATATTGTCGGTCTGTTACTTGAACATAATGCTGATGTAGCAACATGTAACAACAACGGTTTCAACTGTATTCATCATGCAGCGTTAAGAGGAAATTCATCGTAAGTTCTTTTTCTTCATTCCATTAGAATATTATACTGAATTGAGTTTTTCGAAACAACCACCATTGTGGTTAACAGTATTTATGATTTATGATCACTTTTTGGCTTTTCCATTCTTATTACTCATTAACATCTGTAAATCGTTAGCTACTGGCGATTTTCTGAATATGAAATATCTCTTTTATTGCTTTGAGCTAACATAGCATATGTCTTTTAAATTATTGCTGAAAAATATACAGTTTGAAACATGCACCTTTATAAATAATGTAATAAGCAATGAATCTTCAAGTTATATGAACGTTAGCTCTTTCTCTTAGCCGTTAGATATGGAGACACGTTCTCTATATAATCATTTGAGATTAAATATGGTGAGTTTATAAAATATAAAAATTACATAACATCAGTACTGTGGATAAACTATCTATATATATATTTTATTTGAATAAAACATGTTTGTAAACAAAAAAAAAATCATATTTCAGAACTGAATTTTAATGACTATATAAGTGAAATGAATCTATATCTATCAATTAGACATATAACAGAAAGAAAATAAGAAAGGAAAATAAGAAAATTGATATAGTCGTTTTTACGCTCATCAACTTCTTATCATTCGTTTGATTGTTCATTTTAAACAGAAGCTCTCTCTCCTTTTGTTGACTAATCATATGTAGATTTATTTCTGACATTAGAATCATTCCATATGTTTCTCATTATGATTGAATGTGTACAACGATTACTTTGAGTGATTGAAACATAAACTAGAATAATAGAAACGAACAACGATGCATAATTAGTGAAAAAAACAGTCCGTTTTGCCACTAGCTGATTGAGTGTTGATTTCTAATTTGAAACCACATTTGATTTTGTAGAGATTTCGACGGTATCAAGGTTTAACAGCTAATAAAAGGGACCAAGTATTCTTATTCATTCTAACTTTGGCCCCATGCTACTAGCTGTTTTTTCAGTGTTCAGTTCACTCTTTCTTTCGACTGAAAAATGAAATGATTTTCAAAAGCTGCGCATGCTTTTATTGCACAAATATATTTTTAAAGCTAGGATGAAACAGATAGTGTAGGAGAATGTTCAACACTAAATAATTCATTATATTTCGGCTTACTAAATGTACTGATCTTCGTTTCTTCAGATAACTAAAAGCGATCAGAAGTTGTACAGCTAAGTACTTTTAAGTGTTTGTTTTTCGTTTTCAACATTTTTTTTATTGAGTTTTATATTAAGTAAACTAAAGTTTCGTTATTCCTTCGGATCATTGCATATTTTACACGTAACAGACAGTTTTGTATCAATATTTTTGTTTTGCTGAGTCGTGAAAAAGATATTTGTAATTGTTTGAATATGACTTTTATTCCAATGACTAATCGATAGTTTCAGAAATTCTCAAAATGTTTACTTTCTATTGAATCTGTTCACTCATCCTCTTTTCCTGATCAGTTATAATAGTGCAATGTGGGTTTTTTATTGTTTTAGGAGAATTATCATATTTTTAACACTTTAACCCGTTAAATAAGTCCTGTAGTTGCTCTCAGTGTTTGAACTATAATACCCAAATAATAAATTGATTTTGCCATGCAAGTAACATAAAATAGGAGTGAATTGGCTTTTGTTGATTGCCATGCAAAGCATTATTTAGCAAAAATAAGCATTTAATCATCATTTATTAACTATAGCGTATAGAGCATAACGAACAAGCAACAGTTCATATTAAAAATTATAACAAAAAAAAAGAAGTTCTATCGTGACGTCAACCAGATTTACAAAAATCTTACGACATAAGACATCACCGTTATAGTATAAAATACAATGTTTTTCACGATGAAAATTATACAAAATAATTAGTTTGTTGGTTGTTTGTTTTGATGTTAAATCGGCGAATTATCTGCATAGCTCTACGTACTTCTTTACATTCCACAAACATTATTTCAATGTGGCCCGTTCAGAAGTACGTTTGGCAATAATGCAGGTTTTCTTATAAAAAATGTTTGCTATCTTTTGTTGTACATACCGTTGAACAATAATTTTGAACATCAATAACTAATATTGTGAATATAACTGTATACTTAATGATAATACTGAAACTTGGCAACAGCCAAAAGACGAAAGAAAAAATGGCTTATTATCAATGTCCATACAAACAACGATGATAACAGTATGAAATTTTTGTTTGAACTGAACTGTACAGCAGTTCTATCTCTCATATCTCGTATAAGGAAGCGCAAAGCAAGTCGTACAGAGACTATGAAGTGTAGAGATTATGAATATTTTACTATTCGTTTATATACACATTTTCTTCCTCTTCTTTTTTTTTTCCGGATTTCTATTTTTGTACATATAGATATCTCTAAAGAATTTATATATATTCTGCTTTTTTTCTAAGAGATATTTCTGCCTAAATTTGGCCAATCCAAGAATAATTTTATTTATTATCATTATTGTGATCATTCTGGTATTTATCTGTTCTACAAGAAGAAACGAACAAACGATAAAAGCCATTTCATCTTCAGTACACACAAATAGTATTACGTCTTATATCAGCAGCAGGAAGTATTTTCGTTCTGCTGCTGTTGATAACCTATCCGTTCTGTTTTAGAAGAACAAAATAAAGAACACATAAGCTTCTCTGTACTTAACTATATTGATATGAGATATATAATATAAATGATAAGAACAAGAGAGAGAGAGAGAGGGAGAGAAAGAGGGTTTGTTTGTACGATGATAATATTAATGCCAGAGAAGAGAGAAGAAGAAAAAAGATGAACAACAAGATAAGACTACAATGATGATGAACAATAAGAAATACGGGATAACGTTTCAAAATTCATACTGGCGGTCTAATCGCTTCATCGGTCAGGATTCTATCGTATTAAACAAGTCCTGTTGATTTTGGGATGTTTTTGACCGTGTTGGAAAGATACAAATACACAGATATATGTTTCCTACGTTCTAAAGTATTATCTAAGTATAAAACCGTTTTGTTAAAAAAAAACATTTGATAAAATTGCCTCTACTTGACCTAGTAAAATAACGTTGATTAGTGGATGTCCTTTCGATCTTTTTTCTTTTGCGTACTTTTAGTCCAAAAATTTGTCTCATTAATTTGGAAAAATAATCTGCTATATCTGTTTCTTATTTCCTAATTAACAACATAAACAAATGTTCGAGCAGAAAAATACCATCTTTACCATGTCTTTGCCCGACTTCTTCTCTTTGGGAAAAAATAATTAAACATTGTGAAGAAACAGGTCTATTCTACTTCGAATGTAAAATGATCGTTCATGCTATTTTTTCAATAAAAATATTTATGTTGATAACAAAACTTCATTGATTTTCTTGTTCTGGTGGTTTAAAATTTATTTTCTTTATTTGTTGAATGTAACTGAGCCTACTGAAAGTCAAGTTTATTTGTTAGAAACATGTGATCGTAAATGAAAGACGTTATATTGATCAATTTTCAAGTGAAAGAAAAGAAAATATACTTTTATAACCAAATATCCGTTTTCTTTATTTTCTAATGAAGAATTTAAAAAAATTCAACAAGGAATGAAATCGTTCGTAGTACAATATCATTACGCTCAGTACGAATAACTACAATTAATATTCGGTTGATATGTATGGACAACAAAATATATGAAATATGTCATATTTAGAAGAAGTTTGAAACTCTAAACAAAAAATATAATCGAATACGAACAAAATACACAAAGAAAGTATTCATTTAGACTTATAATACATAAAACTGTACCAGTTTTACTAACTGTAAATATTTTTCTTTTTATCTATTCATTTTTGAAATGAATAAATCGTTCCATATTTAGGTCATATTTTATGACGAGAAAATGACACATATTTAAGTACAATTTTAATGTAATTTAACTGTCTAATTAGCTTTTGAAGGACTAATTCTATTTTTAGATATTACAGCACGTACAGAAATAACTTCATCTTATTTAAGTGGCATTGATGAGTATAAACTTTATTTAAGTTAAATTTAACATTCTTTTTCTAGGTTTTTAGCCGGTACCCAAAATCGTCTAACATTTTTACCGAAGACAGTTCTAAATCAACAAATCTTCTAATCTTTCTCTCCGTTTTTTAAGCAGAATATGCGATAGTCGTCTTTATATTGAAAAATAAAACTTATAGGAGAACTTTGCTCTTATAAATCAAAATAATTTTTATCATGTTGAGAACATGAGAAGTATATATATCTATGTATAATAATACAATCAACTGAAATTTTCTTTATAATGTAGCTGAATGGCCGACCGACCAGCATGAATTTTGAAATGTTCCCTAAATAAGATCAGTTTTTTTCTTCTTGTACATACAATAATAACGAATATGTGTGTATATTTCTGCTTTAAGCAAGAAATATGACTTATAGAAAAAAATAACAACAATATGAGATATTTTAGAATGTTTCTCAGAAAAAAAAGAAGAGAAAAGAACTGTAAATGTACATAGAGGTTAAAAAGAAGAGAAAATAAGATAGGAATCGTGCGTATTGCCTGATTCATTCCTTCTGTTATCATCTCACCCATATCAGATTAACTGTTCAACAGTAATATTTTCAGCTCGTTTATTTATAGAATATGAAGACATACGCTTAACATATGTTGGCATTTCTAATAAACTATTTTGAATCGGTGTTTTAGTTGAAAATTAATCTATAAATAATGTATTCTTGTTTAACTTTCTGTAAAGATTATCATTCGTCATTGATTCGAATCTACCTAGTATCATATAATACAATTGCTAAATCAAAATATCTTTGATTTTTACGTATGAATATTTGTCGAAAATATGTATATAATAAGCAAAAATGCTAAGTGAAGGAGTACAATTGACATCTCTTTAAGAGTCAATAAAAATTTGATGAAAAAATCTGAGTGATAATTGGCAATTTCTCTAAACAGACTGTTGATCTATGTTTTCCAGTTACTAATGGTAACGATAATCAAAAGAAACAAAAGAAATAGGAAAATTGCATATAATCGTATGATCATGGATCTTCAGAGTATTTTCATATTTTATTGTTTTAGTCATGTGAAAAATTAAATATACAAAACGAAAGAAGTTATTAAAAACAAATTTGGTTCTTTTTTTTTTTCTTTTTAATTGAATTTAAATTCATCTGTATATCCTAGTTAAATTTAAAAAAAATGAATAAGATCACGAAAGGTAATTATGAATAATAATATAGAATGAGGAATATGTATTCAATAGAACTATCCATATATTTTATGATTCTGGATAAACCCAGTTACCATTAAAATGTGAGAGAACAATAGTAGATCCATCCTATTAGATACAATCGTGCAACGAACAAATAGTTCATACAACAGACTGAAATTAACAATTACGTCTATTTGTAAATAATGTGAAAAGAGTAGAATAAAGTATATATATCACATTAGATATAGACAAGAAATAAGACTTGATAATACTGCACGTGTTCTTTTTTTTGTTTTTGAATGTTGAAAATCTTTATTTGAGTTAGTTACAATATTCTTCTTTTTCTAATGATATTGGATTAAAATATTACAATTCTTTCTGTTATACTTCTATAGTTTAACTCTCAACTATTTTTTGTTCACTATTGATTATGATTAGATAATAGAATGACTTATCAATCAATTTTTTTTGCAATTTTAAGTATAATCTACTTTAATGTAGTAACACACGCAAATTAACCCGACCACCTGGTTTGTGATTTTTTTTCTTTCTGATTCCCAAAAGTGATGTTTCATAATATATACCTTTTATCCTAATGATCTCTATCGATTTTATAGCGTGTTATTTGTTGACAATGTAACCTTTCTTCATGCATCATCATATGAGAATCTGTTTTTCTCATTTTCTTCTTTTTCTGTTAATTTATCTTGCGTTATACATATATATATATAGATAGATAGATAGATGAATAGATAGACAGATAGATAGATAGAAGAAATATTTATTTGAAAAGAGGCGAAGAAGCTCATGATTGTCTGCAAATTGTGCTGCATATACAGTTTCAGATGATTAATTATTTTTTTTTTGTCAAACATCATTAAGAAGATCAATCTCAATAACGGAAACATCACAGATATAATCTACTCTTAGGTCATTTCAACTGCTTAGTAGAATGAAAATCTACGAAGTGTATAAAAATTAAAAGCTTCTCGTTTTTTTAATGCCACTAACATCATCTTAGCATCGTTAAACAAATGAAAACTTTTTTTAAATAGAATATTAAATCAAAATTATTCGATATCTAAGCTAACTCTAAACTACTATAATGATTAACTATTTGAATATATTTATCAATATATGAAGTAAACAAAATATGATTATTCTATTTAGTAAATAATTAAACTGTCTATGTGCATTTTACTTAATTAGACTGTAACAATTACTATCAGATAAAACGTTTAAATGGATACATTCACCAGTAATAAGGCTTAATCTCTCACTAAGAGTATGATGGAATAAAAATATTGAAATTATTTATTTTATACTTACATCATATTTTATACAAAGAAAAGCAAAAATTTTTGTACGATAGAAAATAACTGAAAATAAATTTACAAATGAACATAAATTTTTTTTATTATACAGTCGAGTCAGTAGACTTTGAATGAACAAAAATAACCACGGACCATATGGTCTAAATTCCCATCCCCTACTACGTTTGCGTGGGTTTTAAACCTAAAAACAACGAGGAAACAAAAAAAAAACAGTTTTTTTTTTTTTTTTGCTTCGTTCTTTTGTGTCATCATTATTCAAAAACTGTTCTTCTCTATGTGTGAGCTTTTTTTTTGACATGTGTTTTCATTTGATGACTTTTTTTTTACTATTTCTTCTTCGAGCATGCTGCTACTGATTGAACATTCGACTGGAGAAAAAAATATAGGATCCTCTTTTCTTCTTTTTTTTTTGCTGTGGTACTACGTTCACTTGTTCATCTATTTGATTTTTGAGTAATCATAACTAAATTAGAGCGTGTGATGAGAAGAGACAAAGTTTTTCTCTTTTGAGACTTGATGTACGTCGTCTGTTCACTTCATTTTTTTATCAAACATGTGGTCATCTCTCTCTCTTTCTCTTTCTCTATTCCTCTTTGTTCATGTGTATGGTCACATTATTCTTTTAGCAGAAAAAAAAAATACTATAATGAAAAAAAAACATCTTAACTATTGATAATTTCCTATTCTCGATCTTAGTTTTTTTTATTCATTGTTAAAAAAAAGTTCTTCTTGATGAAAAAAGTTTTCCTTGATCATTCATAGAGATCAAACGGATTTTAAATGATAATGTTGTGTAATTTACCTTCAAAAATGAAAATATATTTATAAAAATTATGGTATATATAGTAGGAAAAGAAGTTAAGGTAAGAATTCAATTTGAATTCTATATTAGATTTCGATGTTAAGAAATGATGAGACAATAGTTTTAAGTCAAATAATAGTTAACAAACAAATATAAAAAATTGGAACTATACCTGATGTTTGTTTTAGTCCATAATTCAATAATAAATAATTATATCGTATGAATATATATCATGCAATCCATTAGAGTATATTTTGATTTAACATTATATTAAGTGAATACGAATCACTATTTATATTTTCCTAGCTGTAGATAATTCTATAATCTATCTCTTTTCAAGGTTATTTATGGGTTGAGTTCTATTCTATATAGGGTTACATCCAACGGTTTTTTTTTCTACTTTTAAAAATACATCTAAATGTATCCAGCTGATTGTCTACATGTTGACAAACATGTGTCCTATCCAGTAAATATCTGCAATAGACATGATAAAAATTGTCAAAGAAAACAACCACAAAAACAAAATCAATTATTTAACATTTTTCTTTTGTTTTGTTTCATTTATATTATTGTTGTCGTTTATGTGTACGGAAAAAAAACTCCACACTATCATTTTACATTAGGATAACTAGCAAAATATTCTTTTTCATATGTGTCCGTAACTGATATAATTCTTTATGTAAACGATAGATACATGTTTCTTTCTATATTTTCTTCTTAGAAAAATTTCTATATAAATAATAATAAATAATTCTTCGGTTTTTTCTTTTTTGAGGAGGTTTATGGACCAAATTATAACAGTCCACATTGCATCATGTTGTTTGTGTTCTACATGTGCAAAATTGTTATCTATAGTAACCTATACCTAAAGTAAAGTTAAAATAGATGCCAAGGAAATAGAATAACATTCCAAAGAAATTGTAGTTCTGTAAAAAGCGTTTACAGAAAATTAATCATTATTGCCTTCAAGGCTGAATATAGATAAATAAAATAGTCTTTATACAATCTACATTAGAGTATACTCAGCATCAAATAAAAATAAGAATTGGAACAATAATAGTACACAGTGATGAATCTAATCCATTAGAGAGTTGAAAATGTGTTAAATACTATTGTTCTTTTAAAATATCATCTGTACAGATAGTTTCTTATTGGTACGATCAAATGAATTGAATTGTTAATAGATGAAATGATAGTCAGTGGAGAAAATTTCTATTCAATTCAATGTAAACGAGAGCCACATTAATTTATACGATATTTTATATATTTTTTGTAATTTGAAGTAAACACATTCAAGATTATATGAGTGTGATCAACCTAAACTACAATTATTGTCTTGGAAATTTATAGTCATGTTTGATTTTTAGAGCGATTGAAGCAATATTGGATAAAATTCAAACTCGTCAATGGTTAGTCGACGAAAAGAAAGACGATGGTTTTACTGCATTACATTTGTCATCATTAAATGATCATTGTTCGGTGGTTGATCTACTATTAACTAAAGGAAATGCTTCGATCAATGCTCAAAACATTAGTTTACAAACACCATTACATCTCAGTGTTGGAAGACAGCATGTACAAGTCGTACAGGTAAATATAGAATAAAATATGTAAAAGTTTTGTGCCACAAATCTGTTGACAAATAAATAATTACTACTATCTTGCTTATTTCGAATAGATGTCTCCAAACGACACTTATTTCTGATATACAAAGTGAGATTTGATTTTAGTCTGTATTATCAAGTTAGTTCGAGAAATAACGCTTACAATAACGCTCATCGATAAGAAGAGATTTTCTCAACTCTAATTTTTCATTTCCGATTCTTTAACATTTTGTTCTTATGTTTAAATATATTATATTCGTTTTTAGTTATTATGTTGCAAAGGTGCAAATGTAAATATTGCCGACAAAGATGGTGATACACCATTACACGAAGCTTTACGTCATCATACATTATCTCAGCTAAAACAATTACAAGAAGTGGGCGATGTGGGAAAGGTAAGAGTTCACTTTATATTAGTTAATCTAATCTGTTCAAGTGTATTATTATCTCCTGTCTATTTTAAATTAGATGATGGGCGTATTTATCAATGGTGCATTAGATAAACGAACATCTTCAGTTATCGCTTGTATGCTTGTAACACATGGTGCCGATTTATTATTGAGAAATAAAAAGAATCAGACACCATTAGATTTATGTCCCGATCCACATCTATGTCGAACATTAGAAAAATGTTATCGAGAATTCAAGTATATCTTTTGTTCAATTATAAATATTGTTGATCAACAATGATGTTCTGTTTGATTTTAGAGAGAAAAATATTGAACAAGGATCGAATTTGACTACACATCATGAAAATATACATGATGAATGTATGGTTTGTTCGGATAATAAACGTGATACGATATTCGAACCATGTTTACATGTGGCAACATGTTATGTATGCTCGGGAAGAGTTAAAAAATGCCTTATATGCAAGGAGAATGTACAATCGAGAACAAAAGTATGCTTTGACACACTCTTTACTTTAATTTCTATTCTTTAGTGATTCTATACTTTTTAGATTGAACAATGTAAAATTTGTTCACAAAGGAAAGCTTCAGTGTTATATAAACCATGTGGCCATATAATTGCTTGTGAAGGTAAAATTTTAAAAGAAAATTTTTTCGAAATTGATAGTATTGAACGTAAAGGAATGATTATCCTATCAAATATACTTTATGAAGAGAATTGCTAGTATTTTGATATTGATTTTAATTGTAGCATGTGCTACGTTGATGGAAAAATGTTTTGGATGTCGAAAACCCGTTGAAGAAATTGTTACGTTTGACGAATTGTGTACTATAAAATCTGCAGGTAAATGCCAACTTTTTTCATACTCTTTTTCGATTATGAATTATTTTAACCCTTTATAATTATTCAAGATCATCCATTATCATTGACTGCTGTTAGCACAATAAATCAAAACATCGCTGCCAGTGATGCAATTGCCTTACAGAAATTACAGCAACAGCTACAAGAAATACGCGATCAGGTAGATATCAACATTTTTGCAAATCATTTATCTTTTACCATATTATTTTGATACATGTTTAGACGGTTTGTCCAATTTGTATGGATCGTTTGAAAAATATGGTATTTTTATGTGGTCATGGTGTGTGTCAACGTTGCGGTGATCGTGTATCAGAATGTCCAATCTGTCGTAAACAAATTGAAAAAAGTATTATTTTATATACGTAACTGAAACAAAACATAAAATTTTTTGTATATATTTTTTGTTTTTTTGCACAAAATTGATATTTATATTTACTTTTCTTCGTCTGTCTATCTCTATCTTAAATCTCTAATCTCTGTTGTCTTAAGTCAAATAAGTCAAATTCTTTTTTTTTTGAATGAAAATTATTTCTCACTGTTCATACGTAATATTTTTCACTTGTAACTTTCCTATGGTCATTTTGTTTCAAAAACAGTGCAATAAAAAAAAATGCAGTTTGTGATCTCCGTGAAGAATATCGAACGTTTTTCTTTTGCACCGCTAAACCATTTCTGTCTTAGAAACTTGAAATGTCAGATACTAGTTTAAACAGTTCAAAAAATAGTTATCATTAGATAAATTATTTGTATTAAAGTCAATTTCGGAAAATAGTATGTTATCAAATAACATTGGAATTTGTTGCTGTAGTTCTTATTGTACATTGTTAGTGTATACTAGGCTGTTTACCTAAAGCAAATCACTGTCCTCCATTTTTGTTGTCCTTCTATTATCTAAAATGGTTTAGAAAGATGATAGAGGATGTTCAGTTGTGGCAGAATTTTATTGCTCCTACTAAGAACATCAAATAGAATAGTGTATTTATGATTTTTACTTCGTTTAGTGTATCCGTCTCACTGGCGATCACATAAGCACGATGAAAATCTACTTCAGAAGCATGACTTACTTTGATATGAGCTTTCCGCTATTCTTTCACAATTATTTCAATTTTTCAAATACTAATATATATGTTCATTAATGAAGATCATTGAAGATAATTTGTTAATTACAGAAATAATTACAAAAATCTCTGAATAATTTACAGATCTTATTCGAACGTGTGTTCAGTAAAATCAAATAAAATTTGAATATTTTCTACTTTTTTTACATTGGCATCACGTATAACTTCTCTGATATCATCTGATAATACACGGCTGTCAAATGTTCGATTTGGTAGTTCTTCATTTATGCCTAAAATATGAACATTAAAATGTCTTTATTATCGTATAATAGTTGGAGAAGTTTCAAAAAACTCTTATTATTATAGATATTTTCATGTACAAAGATCATGTAGAAAAAGTCTAGATAATATGGAACAAATTTGGTTGGAATAAAATTAGTTCAGTAGTTCCAATATAAACTTGTTTACCCATCGGCATGAAGCATGTCAAGACCAGATGTTTTACTATGAATTCATCTTAGTTAATAAACTGCATTGTATGGTATCCCAGACATGAGATAAACCTCTTTGATATACTTTTAGACTCGTACGAGATAAACGTTTTTTAATGGCAGAATAATAATATTTTCATTTTTACTCTGCGTATAACAAATACGAAATTTATTAATTCTGATCGAATTTTTAAATTTTTTTTTCTTATGTCTATGTGCAGCTAGCTAACTGTAGAAGAGAGTGTGCGATCAATATTAGACGGATATACAACACAACTTAAAGTCTTTCCTCAGACATAGAATGACTTCTGTATATAGAATAATTTGAAATTGATTCCAAAATGCCATTAAAAAGTATTCTTGTTATAAGATCCAGTGTATAGAAATGGAGATCACCAATTCCTAAAGAAAAAACAGTCAGTCTATGTCATTCATATTGCTGTTAGAATTTATATCTTACCAAATGATAATAAACCGACGGTAGAACAGTGCTCAAAATGTTCATTGATATTTTCATTTGACACGTTTTTCAAATAATTGGGTGCAATTCAAGAAGTTTATACAGCAATAGAAGTGTACATAATAGGATACAGAAATTATCACTCGTTCTAAGTTGAAAGAAGAAATTAAAAAATTTCTCTAAAAAAATTAAAACTCTGGTGAGAAAAATCCGTCTCTTGGATAGTTTCTTCGAAATATAAATGAATGACGTATGAGTGAATGTTAATTAAACATTAAATATTTTTCAATAGACGCATTTACATATCGAAGCAGTCATCGCTTGTCTTCAAATAATTTTGTAAAACTGATCATTACTTTATAATTGCACTATACATTGCGTATCTCACGTTATTCGTTAAATGGTCTTTCCATACTGTTACGAACTGGTGTTCAGTCTCATTAAATAAAATCGGCAAAAGTGAATATCACTAACACATTTTCTTTTCAAAAAAGCAAGAATTCCAAACGTTTTTGCTAAGTAGAGACAAGGAAAATCATAACTTTCTAATCCAAGCGTTGAAAATGCATCGCTCAATGCCTTTTGGTCAATTCAATAGTAAATGCATCTGGATGCTGATAAATATTTTATACCATACAACTAGATAACTTCACCTATGAGTTGACATATTAAACTTGGCGCATACAGATGTATTGAGCTATGCGTCTAAGTAGATAAATTAACTCGATGCGACAAGCTATATGAAAGATAAACGAGTAAAAGATATAGACCTATGCGCTGGCTAAAGCATCTGGATATTTTGTCTAGAAAGCTTTTGCTTGGAAATAAGTCAATGGGAATTTTATTAAATAATTTAAAACATTTAGGTTCACACATAACAAATCGAGTTGTTTACTTGATCTTTGATGAAACTATAATAATCAAATTGCAAGGTATTATCATCATTCGGAGTTAACTATCAAGTAAAACTCCGCTATACACAATAGATTATAAGCATTTTAGAAACTATTATTACTCGAATTTTGTGTTTATTGTATAACAGATAAAAGAAAACTTCTTTGAATGTGCTGTATCTGGAATAGCTTTTTAAATACATACATTTATTCGTCGAGATATCATAAATTAAGATTGAAAAACGTCACAGCTTATGACGCATCGACTGATATGCAGTTTTGTCAGACAGTTCTTCGCTAAAGAGGAAACATCTGCACACATTATATGAAATGCAAAGAAAAACTGTCGTATTAAAGCTATGTCTGTAGTATCTTATATCAGAATAAATTTCTTCTAGAATAAATAATGATAAATTTGGTGTTTGGTTTTAATCAACTTTGCTGTGGCTATTATATGGTGAAAAGAGACTGCTATTGTTGAGTCTTGGTTGTTCATGTAAATAAGTATAGTCATTTGTTGTAATGGCTCCAGTGTTTGATGGATTTTGAAAACATCCATGATTGGTACCAGTAGCAGGCATCTAAAATTGATGAAAAATGCATGCTACAGATGAATGAATACAACTTCGATTTCACCAAATTCATTTTAATTACTGTATTTCATCATTGCTCTTCTACATTAGAAGAAAATGATCTATATACTTAAAATATGAATCACTGTATTTCGCATGATTAAAGATATTTTTTTATCAAAGAATTATCCTCCAAAAAGTGTAACAGATAGGATTGCTAATATATTAGTTGTGTTATATTACCTGCGATGATGACATTTGGTGCTGTTGATTTGAACAGAATGCATTCTGTACAGGTATTTGTAGTGGACTAAAAGTAGATCGTGCAAACGGTGATGGTACGTGACCACACATACTACATTGATTATTGACATTCCAAACTCCATCCATGCTATTAGTGATTGTATCTGTATTAAAAATCAGATTGCCGTTTTGAGTATACCGCGTACTATTAGGTATGTCCGGCGTGTTATAAGCAGTAATCCCAAAATGAGAAGTACTAAAGTTACTATTGTTTGGTGACGATCCATGTGGCATATTCGCTCTAATTTGATTTGACTGTGATCTATTCGTCGGAGGCGAGATATTATCTACCATAATTGCTCTTGCAGCTACTGAAATTGGATGATTTAGTTGATTTAATTGCGGCATAATTAAAAGAGAAGCGTTGTTGTTCTGACTATTTCGTATATCACTACTTTGAAACGGTTCATTATTTGTATTCACAAAATTTGTCAACGGATTGTATTGATTGTACGGAGGTTGAGTAATCATAGGTACCGGTTCAAAGATGCTGCTAGTATCGGTGATTTGGGAAAGAGCTAGTGTTAAAAATGAATTTATATATTTATGTCATTGAAATTAAAAATGATATTCTGTATTAGTATAGAGTTTTATGAGATAATAAAAATTCAACGTACATTTATTCTTACCTTGACCGAATTTACCCATAAAACTAAAGCATCAAAAAAATCTCTATAACATTGAATGTCTTTATCGAGCGACAAAATGAAACTGTCTATCAGAAAATTTTTCTCAAAAGGACATTAGACAGTGATCACAAATAAAGTACAAATAAAAATGTTTTTTTGTCATAGGAAAGTACAAACTATAGTTCAAAGAATGATGATATGAAATATTTAGTTGATTAATACCATCCATAGGAAGTTATTTACCTTGAAAAAAGAGGTGTATACTCCAACTCGTAAGTCTGTTGAAATAGAGAGTCAATATTTTCGTCTATAATGAAAATAATACTGTTATTCACATCTATTCATTCTTGAATAGTCTTATTCGGTACATACGAAAATAATGACAAAAATCATTGAATGACTTATAATCTCCTTTGTCATTTTTGTCCATAAAATCGGATAATACACGTATATTCTTTGCATTTTCTGTACTAGCTTCATATACTAATTTGCACAGATCGTGTATTAAATTACTAGAATCTAGTGTTCGTTTATCTAATTTGCCTAGTAATCAATAATTCAAACATGTAAACTCTATGGAAACAAATAGCAATGACAAAAAAAAGAATAGTGAATTTCTTCCTTATGTAAATAATCTATAGGGGTTTTTGATCTTTTTCCTTCAGGTTAATGTCATAATCTTCTTAATTTGGGAACAATTAGTATTTTATTGTAAGACATACCCGATCCATCATGAACGTCAACTCGCACAAAAGTACTACCATTCTTAGATAATTTATTTCGTTCTTGTGTGATTGAATTGAAACGTAAACAAATTGTAGGTAATAAGTTATTAACAACTTTTTGTTCTGTTACGGAACTATCACATATACCAAGTAACAAACTATAGAATAAAAAATGTTTTTTCACAATTCATCTGATAAATTTTAAAAATTTAACTATACTTATCAGCATAGAACATCAATAATAACGGATGTTTAACCATAAAATCAACTTGAGTTAAAAATCGTATTAAAAAACTCTACAGAGAAAGTTTAGAAAAAAATGATAAAATAATATATTTATTTCTATTATCATCCTTTACCAAATATTTTGTTTCTGAATTATGATCAGCTGATAAAAGAGAAATTTTAGCTTGATTTAGTTTTTAGCTCGTCTAAACGATCTAAAGATCATACCGTATGTAATATTTAGTTCTTGTTTAAGAAATGAACGAATACATTTGCTTGGTTCAACACCAGTTTTATGCTTCAAATATCGGCACACATAATCTTCTATCACATTGACTGGTAATGATAACTGTTTTACACAGTAGAAAAATTTCTCATCTAAATTGTTGATAAATTCCAAATTTGTCACTTACTAATCCTGTGAGCTCTTGAATATCATTGATCAATACTCTAGCAGTCATTTTGACTATCTGAGATGTATTTGTTCCAATTCCAAAACATAATGTTTCTAATGGTACTGTATCCGAAAACTTTATATCTGGTATCTGAAATAGTCAACAATTTTAATAATATATAATCACAACGTTTAACACGATAAAAAAGAAGATTTTATCAAAATTCGTCACTAAGAAAAGCATTGATTTAAACTTAAGTTGGATTTTCGTAACACTCACATTTACTCTAAATAAAAATCGAAAACGATAAAGTGATTGTGCCAATTTAAGCTTTGACTCGGTTGATAGAACAAACATTGTCAGTTCGGCATATTGAAACGCTGTTTTCGTCGATAATACACAAGTTTCCCAACTTAATGATTTTGGTTCAGTCATTAGAAGCATTTGATCGGATTGATTCGTTTTCGGCCACAAACTTGGTTCTACGAGAGTAATACAATATAAAATTTAAAAAAAACAATAGTAAAGTGTAACATATCCAATACCAATGTCCGACAATTGAATATAATTATTGTATTCAGCCATAAAATCGTGTAATAGGCTTACAATTACAACTTTAATTCTTGCTCTTTTATCGTGAATTGTCACTGCTATTGGCTCATCGCCGGAATGGGGTTGTATAACAATAAGAAATGAACTAAGAATAAACCTTCCCTTATTATTCAAACATGAAATATATGAAAAGTTTATTTTTACTGTTTTAACAATCTCTGAATTTCTTCACGTCCACTTTCATAAAAGATTTTGTCAGTTTTCATTCGATTGATTAAATATTTTAAATGTTTTGTGATTCTGAAAATATATTCATACGTCACAGATACGAACAACATGTTTCATTTTTCAATATATCGATATATTATTGGTGTACAAATTACATTTTTGGTTACTTATATACTCTATTTGAAAAATCAATCATTTTTTTACAAGATAATGAACATTGGTTGTTCGACTTTCAAAAAAAAATACTAATGGATAAGATTTATAGTAGAACTTACTGGTTCTGTAATATAATTAAATTTTCAGATTCGCCGAGTTCTTTATGATTAAGGAAAAATAATCTTCTATAACGATGCTCATGCCTTGTCACTTCAACAGCGGCCTCGAGTTGCCGCAGATTCTAGAAAGAACATATTGTTATTAAGGACTATTGTCCATCCAAAAAACAGAATGGTATATGACTGTTTTCTGAATAACTTTTGTTAGAAAAGAGCTAGCGAGCTCTGGTTTTCAGTAGTCGAAAGAAGAGATTTGGATACATGTTTTAATAAGCAAAAGTTTTTCTGAAACAGATTTTTGAGGAGTTCTTTGGAAAACTAGACCGTTGTAGAAATCATCCAATAGAATTGTATTGATTTTTTTCATTGACTGATAGCGCGAGATGTCCTCTTCAAAATGGGAGACAAACAAGGTCTTGATTTCCGACAGTTTCGGCGCTGTATCGGATTTCCTATGCGTCTCGAGACCGGCACCCGGTGACTATTGGTAGCCTTGAAGACGGATGAACTATGAGAAATCGATCATGCTGCGTCTTGTTTCGATATCTGCTTTTAGAAAAATTTTAAAAATCTATTGAAAATCGAGTTTTACGAAAGTTGGGGTTTTCAGATTGTTTTTACCTAATAATAAAAAATTCACTATTCGCCCAAAGAACACCAGAGC